CAGTGGGGGGGGGGGACTTCTGGTGTCCACGCGGCTCAGCTCCTCTGCCCTAGGAGCTTGGGATGGCTTCCTTCTGGGTTCTGGGACCGGCTGAGCTTCTCTGCCCTAGGAGCCTGGGATGTTTTAGGTGATCTGGAAGTCTGGTTTTGAGGCTTGTTTATGTGTTTTCTCATTTCCACGGGGGGGGGGTGCTTCTGGTGTCCACGCGGCTCACCTTCTCTGCCCTAGGAGCTTGGGATGGCTTCCTTCTGGGTTCTGGGACCGGCTGAGCTTCTCTGCCCTAGGAGCCTGGGATGGAGGCGGGGAGCTTCCTTCCAGGTGCTGGGACCAGCTGAGCTTCCCAAAATTAGTTTTCTTTTCCTCTCCAAATCCCTATGACCAAGAATTTTTGTTTTTTGAGGCAGAATCTTGCTATGTAGGCCAAGCTGACTTGGAACTCAAGATTCTCCTGCCTCAGCCTCTCACCTGGTGGGATTACATGCATGCCCCACTATACCTGGCTATGACCAAGAATTTTGTTGCCAAGGAGCTAGGCATAAGTTCTTTTTGAAATCCTGGAAAATCATAATAATGAAAATACTAATAGCAGCTACTGCTTACCTTAGAAACAAAGTGTACATACCGGATTTTCGTGATAGGAATATGGATCTCTTTCTGCATGATCTCATATAATTGTTTGTTTCTAGTTAAAAAAATAAGATGACTACTTTAGAGAATATTTATATCCTAATAATTCTCTATTCTGATCTCAAAAATAAAAACTATGATTTTACTTATTTAAACAACATGCAAAAGAAAATATTAAATAAGTACACAAACTAACTTAATATCATCTGGCACAGTGATGGTGAATCTTTTAGAGCTTTCACTATATAAACAGTCTGCTGTGGCATGCATGCCACAGGTTCACCACTGCTGGTCTAGCACATGCCCACCTGAACAACAAACTCAGGTCCTTGTGTTTTTGCTTTCATGTAAGATAGCATGATTTTTATTTTACAACTAAGTTTAACCTATTACCATTCTATTAAAAATTATTTAATTAGTAATGAGGATAACATAAAAGAACCATTTAATAGAAGAATTCATCAAATATAATCATTTTGTAGTCACAGAAAATTTTATTTTAAACAATATAAACATTCTTGATTCATATCTGCATTTAATAATTAATTTTCATAATCTATACTTTTCCCATAACAAAGAGATCACGGGATATATGAAGAATATTTCTAATTTTTAGTATTTGGTATAACTGAAACATTAATATGAATTCTCCCTCATGAAAAAGGTCATAAAAACTTTTGAAAATTCAAATTTTGAATCTTTTTTTTTTTCTTCCTTTTTTCCAGTACTGGGAATTGAACTCAAGAACTTGCACTTGCCAGGCAAGTGTGGTGCCGCTGAGCTACATTCCCAGCTCAAATTTTGAATCTTTTATGGTGAGAAACTGGACTTGTTTTTTTTTCAGTACTGGAGACTGAACCCAGGGCTTCTGTACTGAGCTACATCCACAGGCCTTCATTTTTTATCTTTATTTTGAGATAGGGTCTGTGTCACCACACCTGGTTTTTATTTTGTTTTGGTTTTCCTTTTTGTGCATGGTACTGAGGATTGAACCCAGGACCTCACATATACAAAGTATATGTTCTACCACTGAGCTACATCTCTAGCCTGGGATACTTAAAAAAAAAAAAAAATTCAGTTTTCAGATAACAAATCTAAGTGACACTAGTACTTTTAAATATGAAAAAATAAATAACAAAGAAATTAGCAACAAGACCAGATTATATCATATATAGTATAGATTAAACAAAGTATAAGTTAAATAATTTAATTGCAATTGAGAAGTTTTCTATTTGGTAGCAAATTAATAAAGGAAGTGGAAAAGTATGAAGAGGCAGGAGTTTGAGGCAGGGTTCCCCACCTGAATGCTATTGACTCCAATATTGCTCGTACAAGATGGTATTTACTGGTGGAAGGCTTCAAACCCATAAAGGAGGCACACGCACAGGGGTCATTTAATGGAGCCTAAAGTAAGAGACAATAAGAACACACTGTATTATTAAAGTTCTAAATTACATCTGTAGAGTCGAGGAAATATATGCAACAGAAAGCCAGCCATGTAAACACAGCCCCAACATTATGTTATCCATTAGGATGACTTTTTTTTTTCCCTTGGTACTAGGAACTAAAACCAAGGGTTGGTGCTCTACCACTGAGCTACATCCCCAGCTCTTTTCATTTTTTATTTTGATACAAGGTCTCACTAAGATGCCCGGGCTGGCTTTGAATTTGTGATCCTCCTGCCTCAGCCTCCTGAGTTGCTGGGATCACAGGTTTGTACCACTGTGCTTGGCACTAGGATAAATTTTTAACAGCAGGTAAACAAGGTTGAGTTAGGTATTGGACTTAGGTGGACCTTTTATTTAAGTTCATATCAAAAAAGGGCACTGAAATATGAAGTAAACAATTATTATTTTTTGTTGTTGTTATTTTTTTGTTTGTTTGATACTGGGGATGGAACTCGGGTCCTTGCGCTTGTGCAGCAGGCAGCAAAACCACTGAGCTAAATCCCCGGCCCGAAGTAAACAATTATTAAAAGCCAAGCTTTACAAATGTAGAAAACAAAAAGCAACCACATGAATCCTCCTCTCTCCAACTGTAAAGTTTTAGGGTTTTTTGGTTTGGTTTTGTTATTGGGGACTGAATCCAGAGCTTTCATATTGAGCTACATCTCCATCCCCTTTCCCACTCCCTTTTTTGAGACAGGTTCTCCCTAAGTCGCTAAATTGCCCAGTCTGCGCTCAAACTTGTGGTCCTCTTGCCTCAGCCTTCCAGAGTGCCCTTTTTTGTGTGTGTGAGATAAGGTCTTGCTGTGTCTTTCAGGCTGGCCTTAAACTTGTGGCAATACTCCTGCCTCAGCCTCCCGAGTGCTGGGATTACAGGCATGTACCACCATGCACTGGTTCAGAGTGCTCTTGAGAACTCCTTTACTGGGCCTTCTGAACTCTTTTTCTCTTGCAAACAAACTCCCCTGACCCTTAACCTCTTGCAAGGAGTTCCCTCCACTTACACTGTGATGCTCTCACAAACCTGGCTCTGCTCTAGACATCAGCTACTGTTGTAGCTATCTAGCAGAGGCTCCCATGCTTCCACAGCACAGAGACCAGGAAGGTCCTGTCCAGACCTCCCACATGCGCTCCACACCACTGGGATTCTAGTGTTATCCCACACTTCCCTTCCCCACACTATACCATGCGACGGCTCCCCTCCCCTCCACCACTCAGATACCCCACGCACACACAGAACTAGAGACAGCCATCCCAGGACTTGCTGGCCTTCCCCCTTTTAAGGAAACTGCTTGAATCCATAGGCCCTGTTGTCTGAAGCAGCCACATTTCAGCCCCTAGTTTATGGCTGCCATACAACAGTCTGGGAGAAGCATAACTGACTCCAGGTCTGACCAATGCTGGAAAGGACAAGGTGGTCCAATCAGATGCTCTCCCCTAGAAACCTGGACTAGGAAAGAGACTGCACCAATCGGGGAGCTGAGCAAAAAGGATATGCAAGGTGGAGGATGTTGTGTGTGATATTTCTAAGGAGTGCAGGAGCAGAGTATGAAAAAAATAACAAGCAGAAGTTATAAAGAAGAAGGGATGCAAAGCTAGTATTGCAAGGAGAAAAGCAGACCCATGGAGAGAAGGAGAAACCCAAAGCACATCCCTGAGAATCACTAAGATGGCTCAGTCCCAGCCCTCAGAGCATGAGGACAACCAGCTTCTCTCAAGGGTAACTTCATGGAGCCAGTTCCTTGCACACAGAGAACCCTCATCAGAGCAAACTCCTCACCCGCCAAGATGGGGACTTGGCTCACAGCCTCACCCATCCCACTACAGCTTTCCCACAGGAATCAGTGTCGAAGGAGAAGCATGAGCACCGATTCCTTCCTCAATGTCCACTGCCTCACCCGCCAAACCACAAGCCTCACTACAGCACAGCCATAGTGGCTGCTTTCCCCGTGCCACACAGGGTGCGGCCTACCCTTCTGTTCTCCCCTGAAGAGGCTGTCCCAGACTTTCCAGTGAGCCGACTTCTTTGACATATTCAAGAACTTCTCAGACTGCGTATGTAGCTCAGTGGTAGAGCGCTTGCCTAGTGAATGTGATGCCCTGGGTTTAGTTCTCAGCATTCCCCACCCCCCAATCCTAATAGTTTATGAGAGGTCAACATCTTTGCCCCCTCCTATTACCCTAGTCTGTAACAATGTTATAACACAAAGGGCAGTATCAGATATGTGAACCTCCTTCTTTCCACCCCATTTCTCATTTTCTCTCATTGACATGATCTGCCACCTGTTTCCCCATTAGCTTGGTATCGATGCACTACTGTTCGAATTAACTTTCAGTTTCTAAGAGCTTTTTCTTAAACCAAGTGTGGTGATACGTGCCTATGATCCCAGTTACCCAGAGGATCACAAGTTCAAGACCAGCCATGTTTGACAGTTCAAAACCCTATCTCAGGGCTGGGGATTTAGCTCAATGGTTACACCACCTGCCTCGAAAGTGCAAGGATCCGAGTTTGATCCTCGGTACCAAAAAAAAAAAAAAGAATGTAGACTTTTGGGCCAGGGATTTAGCTCAGTGGTTCCATCACCTGCCTCATAAGCACAAGGACCCTAATTCGATCCCCAGTACCAAAAAAAAAAAAAGTACAAAACCCTATCTCAAAAAAAGAGGGGGAGGTGAGAATGGAGCTTAGCACTACAGCACTTGCCTAACACACGTGAGGCCCTGGGTTCAATTCCTGGTACTGGGGGAAAAAAAAGTGCTTCATTTTATGCTAGAAATCATGGTAGGACAGGGACATTTTATCACAATGAAATTAAAAATCCTATCTGTAACACTTGTCTAAATCTTTTGGGTTTTTTAAAATCATATACTTTATATCACTTTTACAGGCATGTGAGGTGATGGAGAAGTCAGAGTTGTCAAGACAAAGTCACTGCTAAGTCCCCCAGCACATTTTTCAGAAAGGAAATAATAAGTAGTAACCTAATGAAACCCTACCTTTGCAGACGACAATTACTCATTTAACCTTTCTCCTGAAAACTCAATTCAATACTTTTCACTTTTCTGTCCTGTCAAAGAGGATGTGATCTCTATCTATACTTCATAAACTTTCAGTCCTTCTGGATAAAGCATAGAAGGAAAATATACAGATACTGAAATAGTATCTTAAATTTGCTTTTTTGGGGGTACTGGGGATCGAACTTGGGTCCTTGCATTTGCAGGGCAGGTGGCAGAACCACTGAGCTAAATCCCCAGCCCC